TTTAATTAGGTTAGAAGGGTCAAAACGCTAATTTCTCGTCGATCTAATTTTCATCACGCGCTTTATTATTATTTTTATTCATATTAATGTAACTGTTCACAGGTTGTAATAGTTAATTAGGACTTTTACTTTTCATTTATCGCTTTATTATTTAAGGGTTTGTTTTTTGGCTATGTAAATACCCGAAGCCTTGTAATAGTGTAGTTTAATTTCCGCAAAATATTAAATTGTTAGATATATGACATAGAGATGCATGACAAGAATGTATGTAAACTTTAAAACAGTTAGATATCCCTAAAATGTGCAAAGATAAATAATCTGAAATTGAATCACTCGCACATGCGCACTCCTAGGGTACACTCCCACTTGGTTGCCTTCGATAAACGGTCATTGAGTATAGGATACTTTAGTGGTCGTCCTTTTGTCTAAACAAAAAGATCAAAGTCCCGCTTCGGAAAAGTTGCCTCGGAATGGTTGCCTCAGATATTGTTGCCTCGAATAAATTGATCTAAGACATTAGGGTTACTACTAAGACGTCCTAACAATGCTTTAGTGACCGTACGTCCCTTTCGAATTGACCCTCAAAACTCCAACGACGGTGCTACCTACTCACTAATAGTGGGATAGTATTGTCTAAAGGAAACAAGCATAGAACGGTCCTTTTCTCGAGTAGGTAGATTAGCTCTTAAGTACTTTCTCAAACAAAACAAACTTTTTCACACTTACACTCCTTTACAAACAAAGTTTTCAAAAAAAACACTTCATTACACTCTTGAAGACAGAAGCAAGAGTTAAATCGAAGTCAAAACAAAAGCTTTTTAAATCACACAAACACAAAGAAAACAATTTTGAAAATGATGAGCAAGTACCTAAGAGCCTGTAGATAACTACAGATATAAAGGGTGCTAATACCTTCCTTTCTATAAATCTACCCCCAGTACTCAGAAATATCTCGAAAAAGGAATTTTTCTGTGCTTTTTTCCTTTCCTTGTTGGATAAAATAAAAGTCGGTGGCGACTCTTGCTTACCGCGACATTTTGCGAACACAAAACGCAAAATGCAAACCAGCAAATTCCTTAAAAAAGGAAAACACGTCCCGGTTCTGAACACCTTATCACATGGGCGATACAATAAAACATAACCTGAGACCTTATACCAGAAAAATGCACCCCTCTTTTATTATCCAAAAGAGAAATTATATGGACCAGTTTGATAAAGAAAAATGACGCAATACCAAAATATACCTCTCTCCTATTTTTTATAACCAGCCTCCAAAACTTTAATGGGCCACCAGATTTTGATGGTCCGTTCAAGACAATACACCCCTTCTTTAGATTTTAACCCCTTATTAGAATAGAATTCAAGAAAAATTAAAATAATATGATAGTAAAACTAAGACTTAAATAACATAACCATTGAAATTGTTGGGGAAAATTTGGTTTATGACAATTATCTAATAGTGTCTAGATTCTACACAAAGATTTATAGAAATTATTAACTTGGGTGTCTGTGATTAATACCTCTGTGTTGGTGTCGTTGCTCTGAGAGATTGTCGACACGATTAGAACAGTTGACTTATGTGTTGTTGAGGTGGTTGAGAGACTGCTACTAAGGTGATACAATAGGCCTCTCAATTTGGGTTAGAAATGAATTAGGTTGTGAATGATATGTGGTGACATTGACGAGTATTGTAGGTTGAGTATAACTGGTCGATAGGTTTAAATGTGTGAGAAGTAGTATATATGCAGTCTTGATAAGTTATTCATTTTTCTTTTATTTTTGTTGATAACTTTTACCCTTTCCATTTAAACCCCCCAAACTCATTAAAGAATGATTTGTCGAACGACGACTTTGTAACCAATCTATGTGGACACACTACGATATAACCTAAATATCACCCGGTAAAATAATAATTTACTTTTTTCTTGCCGCTTTACCGCTGCAACAATAAGTTGTCTTGAGAATTTCCTAAGCTTCCTTGGCTACAATACATGTATTGATCATCCTGAACACATTTTTATCAACTCCCTTGAATAGTGCATTAAAAGCCTTGAAATTTCCATTAGCTTCTTTATCATCATCTTAATTCCACTCTTCTTCAGGTTTCATAGTTTCAGTTCCAGTCTTTTCCCCATATTTCTCAATATCCTTCACAACTGGATGCTTCCATCCTTTCAAAACAACATTCCAAGCCTTGTTATCCATAGCTTTCAAAAAAGCTATCATTCTAACTTTCCACCAGTCATAGTTTTAACCATCTGACATAGGTAGTCTATTGTTATATCCTCCTTCTTTCTCTATATTTCGAGGAAATATATCCTTGAATCTCACCTAGTAAACAAAATCGGGTTCCTACTCTGATACCAATTGAAATACTGGCACACACAATATTAGAAGTCAAGACTGATGTCTGAACAACACACAAAGTCACGATAGATATTATAACATCTGCTGATAGAACAAAAACAATAACAACAATTCAGAAATATAACTTACAGAAAGTATAGAACACAATGATATGTTAACCCAGTTCGGTGCAACTCACCTACTCTCGGGGCTACCAAGCAAGGAAGGAAATCCACTATCAGTAGTATTAGTTCAAAGAAAAAATCCCCCGTTTACAACTTCTTGCCTAATCCCCACCCAATACAACTTCTACCTAGGCACCTCCTAGATATGAGAAATCACCATCTCACTTCCAATCACCGAAATGTTAAACAAACATGCTCAGTCCTAGGGAATGTCTCAAGAAACCAAAAAGGAAGAACACACTTCCAAGTTACAAATACTAGGAGTTGCTTAAAGGCTTCCTCCAAGAACAATAATCAACTCGTACCTACGAGCTTTGAGTCAGAACAATGTCTTGTTGAACAAGCAACAATTAGTCAACTTAAATGTATCATATATACATGAGGACATATAATAAAAACACATGGAGAACCTCAGGAACTACCAACCCTAAACCCTTATTTCTTCACAAGGTTTTACAATAAAAACATTGCTTAAAAAACTAGGTTTTGGACGACTCCTTATATAGGCTTATACAGTTGGGCTTGGACTAGCTTGGATTCTTCAATAAACTCTAATCTTCAGCTGAAAAATCTCTGTAGAGTATTCTCCAGAAAAATAGAAACAATCTTCATAAAAAGTTTCCTAAAAAGTCTCAATCGATCCTTTTTAGTAACCAATCAAATTTGCACTTGTTTCTAACAATATCCTTGATTAGTCTGCGCCTATGATAAGTATAGAATATTCCAGATACTCATATATACAAATTATATATTCAATGATATCCAAAAAGCAGTGTCTGCTGCATCAGACCGGGATGTCACAACATCTTATGTGACATCTAGCAGAAAACTCATAACACCAAAACTATTATGATAGTTAATAAAGATGATACACCATTCTACTCAACATAAACATAGAACAATATTTAGAACCATGCTTAGCCAAATTTAGGAAACCATTAAAATATGGAACTAACAACAATAATGACTAGCAATTTCTGTCTTACCTCCAGATAGGTGTATTGTAAATGGGCAGGCAATTGCTTAAGCCCTACTTCATGAGGAACTACCATTGGTGTAGTGTTATTTTTCTTTAATTCATAGTATTCCTACAGGTAAAAGGGGTTCAAATAAATATTTTCTGTGTTTGAAAAGTTATGAATCGATTGATAAGTCCAATTCCAATATCTTGATTTCTAACAACAATGCACCGTGAACCTATATATATATATATATATATATATATATATATATATATATATATATATATATATATATATATATATATATATATATATATATATATATATATATATATATATATATATATATATATATATATATATATATATATATATATATATATATATATATATATATATATATATATATATATATATATATATATATCGTCTGCTACTACACAGCCAATTAATGTTTGTATCAAAAATTCTTTCTGGCATCATTCCATTTTGGGTGTTTACAAAAATCCCACAGATGGCACCACAATCTATTCTCCGTACAACAATGTGTTGGACCACTTTAACAAGTCGACGTGTAAGATATCTGGCATCTGATGTTCGTGCAGTAGTTTCTACAATCCCTTTACGTGTAAGCTCCAAAGTATCCATAAATTCATCTTTCTCATTGGACTTGCTCAATGGTGCGCGTATGATTCCTTCATTCTTTTCAACTTCTACATTTAACTTTCCCAAATCTTGCTCTAAAATGTTACTACTTTTGAGCAGATTCTTGTGAATTAAGTTTTCCCAACTAGATATCATTAAACAATCAACTACTACTTCTTCTGGATATTATAATACATTCAGCATATTAAACACAACTTTTTGTCCATTGACTCTCATATTTAATTCTCTTCTTTCTATATCTATCAAGGTTCTTCCGTTAACAACAAATGGTTTTCCCAACAATATAGCAGTTGCTTCATCAGCATTGAAGCTCATGATGATAAAGTCAGTAGGGAACAAAACTTATCAACTCTTACCAACACATCTTCAAGCTTCCCTTTAGGGTAAAAAAGGATTTTGTCAGCTAGTTGGAGAGTAATGGTTGTTAGTCTAGCAACTCTAATCCCAAAATTCTTGAAGATAGACATGGCATAAGGATGATACTTACTCCAAGGTCACACAATGCCCTTCCACATAATGAATCTCCAATGTTACATGGTATAGTAAAGCTTAAAGGGTTCTTTAGTTTATGAGTTAGTTTTCCTTGAACAAGTTGATTGCATTCTTGATTTAATATTACAATGGCAAACTCTCTCACTCTCTTCCTATTTGTAAGATCATCTTTCATGAATTTTTAGTAGTTGGGCATTTGTTAAATTGCCTCAACCAATGGTATGTTGATGCAAATCTTCTTCATAATCTCCATGAATTACCCAAACTAGTGTTTTTTCTTAGCCTTTCTAATTCTTTAAGGAAAATGAGGCAGATGTCACTCTTGGACAAATTTGGGTACCCTGTCAACCTATAGCATGGCAATTGGCAGCTTCTCTAAACTAGATTTCAAGCTAGAAGTCTTCAGTGTGCTTCTATCTTGTTCTATCATTTCCACAATAGGTTCCAATACAAGTTTTTCTTTAGTAGATTCATATACTTCCTTTTCTGAAGTGTCATGAGTAATCAGATTCTCTTTTGGTGATTCTTTCCTTGTAGATGTTGATCCTTCACATTCTTTTCCACTTCTTAACTTGATCACCTTGCATGTTTCAATACTCTTGGCTTGAGATGTAGATGTTAGAGTTTTAGTGGAGCTAGGAAGTGCTCTCATAGTCCTTAGGGTAAGTGCAGAAGCAATTTGACCCACTTGATTCTCCAAAAAATTTATGCTCACACCCTGAGCTTGAAAATGACTATTAAGCATTGAACAAAGGAATTTATTATGTTTTTAGCTAGTTTCTCCTTTAATTAGCCACAATAGAGTTTGGTGTAGAAAACTAGGTGGAACTTGTAGTGCTTGGGGCGCTTGAGGTTTAAGTTGGTTTTGATTGTTACTTCATGAAAATTTGGATGTTTACGCCAACTAGGGTTGTATGTGTTATTGTAAGGGTTGATATACTTGTTTTTACCAACATAGTTAATTGAAACAAGATTTACGAAGCATTATTCAAATAAGTGAGCACCCCCACAATAAACACAGGTAACTTCTAATGCATCAGTCACAACTTTAATAGGTTTGACTGATGGCACGTCAAGACTTGGCATCATTTTTGCCTCATTTGATGAATTTGAGCCACCGGAGAAGCCGGGGTTATAGTCCTAGAGCCTTCATGAATACCAATAGGATTTTTCTGATTATAAACAACAAAAGCTCTTTTAATTGCCTATAGGTAGGTATTGGATGTAATGCTCTCAATCAACTTATATCAATATCTATATGACTTAGACATCAAATCTCCACTACTAGAAGCATCAAGCATGTTTCTTAATGACGGAACCAATCCATTGTAGAATTTTTCTACTTGAATGCGGATTGTTATATCATAATGTGGGCGTTGTCTAAGGAACTCTTTAAATCTCTCCTGATCATAAAAAATATTCATCATCCTCTTGTCTAAATGAGGTGGTCTCATTCTCATCTTAGCATTCTTGACAGGAGGAAAGTACTTAGCCAAAAATATTCAGCTAAAACATTTCATGTGGCTATGTAATTTGGTTCTAAGGAATTCAACCAACTCTTAGCTCTATCCCTTAGAATGTATGCGAAATTTCTCAACCTGAAGGCATCATCTGTAATGCCAGGGATGTAAAATTTACTTGCCACTATTAGAAATTGTCTCAAATGCAAGCAAGGATCCTTAATTTCAGCACTTGTGTATTGACCAATGGCTTGCAACATATGAAACTTTATTGGTTTAAACTCAAGTTAAGCTAAAATGATCTTTGGACTAATAATATTCATGTTTATGGCATTAGGATCAAAGACTACATAATCTCTGATGTTTCTTCCTTTATCATTGGCAATGACAATGATGTCATTATCTGTCTTGACAACGTCTGCTTGAGTTGGTTCTTCCTCTATGTCAAAAACAAGAAAAGGAGGAGGGATTCCTGGTATGGTTCAACTATGTTGAAGTCTCTTAATCAATCTGAATGATCACTCAGGTTCAGGATCTCCTCTATATATTGGGTTTAACAACCTGCTCATGCAATAACTAAGCACATGTCGTGTCATCAGAGTACAAAAAACGACAACATCTAAAATGCTAATTTAACAAGAAATAATGTTTTATATAAAATAAAAATGTTATCTTTGACACACTCCCCTACAACCGCGCCAAAATTTTTTTGATCAAAAATATGTGATGTCACATGCAAGTATACATGTATGTTTCAAGTAGCAAGTGATAGAATAGTAATGACGTCGAACCCATAGGGAGTAGAAAGTAACTTAGATTGATTTTTTAAGGAACTATCTTTTGTAAATGAGCATGATCAAGGTAAAAATAGTTTATGGTTTTCACATGTTCAGTTTAGTAGTAAAGATAGTCAAAATAGTGTCAAGGATGTAAGTGAATGCAATAATATGTGAAGTCAAGCTTTTCCAAATACTATTTTTTATAAAGACAACTATCATGAGTATATATATATATATCAATAAAGGATGTTCAAAAGATCAAAAAGCTATGGATTAAGACTTGATAAATATGCAAATTTAAAGAAGATTAGCATTCATTGAATGATCTTCAATTTATATTGGTAAAAGTTTCAATTTATGCCTTGATATATTCTAAGTGCTCAAAATTACTTATACTTTCATACATATGCATAACCATGATTTAATTCATCTGCCATTGGTATTAAAAGGGTTTTTTAAAAAATGGTTTTCAAAACTTTTAGTGATGTAATCGGTAACATCATGAAGTAATTTGTTACATAGCCTTGGACATAACCAATGTTACGTTCCTCGTGAGGTAAATGGTTACATTCCTGAGCTATCTGGTTACCACTGAAGTAGTGACACTTTTTCATGAAAATAATTATTCAAATGAATTTTGTTCTTCACCATGAATCATTACATTTTTTGATCAATTTATACTCTTTCTAAAGGGTGTAATGCACATATATATTATGCATTCTTTATATTTCAAATGACACCTCTTTTAAGTAAATTTAAAAATCATTTACTCACTCATTCTCAAACAAGTGTTTTGATACTTGAACTTTCATTGAGAATTTTTATGCATATTGTTTTCATATCAATTCAGAAAAATTTCTCCTTCATTCGTAAAACACTTGAGCAATAGTATATCATTGTGAATTTCTTACTTGAAAGAGAAGATAAATCCTATATATAAGAAAGGAAATGATTGTTTTCTTCTTGTATTTGTTTGGTTGTTCCTTGCTATCTATGATTGTTAAAGCAAGAGAGTTGAGTTTGTGAGGATTGTTCTCATTTCAACTTGGTTGATCCAAGAGGATTATTCTTTGTAGTTTTGTTCTTAGAAGATTGTTGTAGAAGTCTTGGTATAAGGCTCGTACAAAGATTTAAAAATAATGAAATCTCTTTCGTGTTGAAAGGGTACTTGACGTACCTTTGGACTGTGAGGTGAACCAGGATGCATCCTTGTGTTTTTTACTTTTCTGCATTTACTGCTTTCATCTTAAATCATAACCAGAAAAGGAAGAAACACATTTCTAAACTCTTAACGTCAAACCAGGAAAATAAGAACAACTTCTTTCTAAAATCAGATCATTTTTAAAGTCCTAACTCACTCCCCTCTTAAATGCACTCTGAACTAACAATCAGTATTAGAGCATGTTTAGGTAACTGTTATACCCAAATTTTTGCCCCTAATATCTCTTATCATCTCATAATATCAATACATCAAGATCACACATTAGGGTTGGCTTTCACTTTCTACTTCATCCTATTTTTAAGTTTGCTCTTGAGGGATCACCAAGCACCTTGAATTGTGTATCTTTAACATGTGTTCTTTTAACTAACATCAAGATATGTATATATATGTTTCTTTGAATGTTAATATTGTAGGTGATGACAAAACTGCATCCAACTCACCATCTAACCTAGGGTTTTAAGGGATGATCCTCAGTCAAATGATTATTAAATGGATTGCAAGAGCTTAATCTTCAAGGCTATGTCTATGATATCAAATTTCTATGGTTCAAAGATCTCTCTCACTTTATTTAGGTCAAGTTTTCCTCGAGGTTGGTTGTGGCATTCATAAAGAAGATTCATAGGTTCATGTGTTTATTTCCATGCCTTCTTCAATAAGTTTTATTGAGACTTAAGCTCCATCTTTGAATGTGCTTCAAGATAACACCATTTCAAGGTCTAATGTGATCCATCATGTTTTACTTTGCCAATAAAGTTCAAAACATTCAAGGTTGATTCAACAAGTTTGACCTAATTGAGAAAATGCTTGATTCAGTGATCACAAATGCATAATTCTCTCAATTTTCAATATTTTGAGTTGGTTCTTTTTCTACGGATTCTTATCATCATCTAAAACAACTTCTCTTCAAATGACAAGATCCAATTGTTCAAGGAAAGTCATCAAAAGTTGAAAGGGGTTACAAGTCATTTTGACACTCACTGAGCTAGGGTTTACTGACTTCCAACGACCATATCCTGCTCATTTTTTGAGATTTTTATTGATACCCAAAGGCATGATTCTCTGTAATGGGTCCTTAACAATTTCTCTTCAAGGCTTTAAGGATAATTTTGAATGGAAGATCACTAATTATGGGAAATAATACAAGTCCTTTAGGAAAGCAATCAAATTCTCTTGTGTGACCTCAAAGGATCATAACTTGGTCAATTTTTATCTCCATGAGCTCATTATTTTTTCAAAATAATATTTTGAATGTCTACTACAACTTTGATTCAATATTCTAGACTTGAAAATTCTTGGAAAGTTGTTTAAGAATTGAAAAGATTATAGGTCTTTTGTGAATTTCCCCAAATTTGTTCATCATCTTCTAAAGACTATAACTCTTTCAATTTTATGATTTTTGAGTGATCTCAATTCCATAATTCAATTAATTTTTTCTACTTCATTTCATCATCAAATACCAATATCAAAATTTGAGTGGAAAGGCTTGTAAGTTTACAAGACACTATATGTCATTTTGAAGCTTAACAATTAGAATTTTTCTAAGTACAACGTACATGTGTGTTTTTCCTGATTTCAAATTTGAATAACTTTTTGCTTAAGCATCTAAATGCTACCTTTCTTGGAACATTGTGAATTTTTTAATGATATCTTTCCATTGCAAAAATAATGAGATCTTAAAGCCTCCTATATTGTGTGCTCCATGCTCTTGAAGTTGCTTTAATGAAACTGAGTTTTTGTTTGAAGTCAGAATTTGATTTCCATAATGTCGCCTCTAATCACCAATTTTATGTGTGTTTTTCACTTAAACATGTTTAACTAACTTGCTCATACTTGTTCATAGCTCACAATTCTGAGTTTTTGAATTCACTCTTTCCTTATTTTTCAATCTAATTTCTTTGTTCATTCTTCATCCTTTAACTTCACTGAAGCTAACAGAAGAAGAACCAAGCCTTTAGATGCTCTAAATCGTGCTAGTCAAGTTAAATTTTAGAGCTCTGAAGTTGAGCTTCAACAGGTAGATTCCTCCATCAATTTTCTCCAAACTTGTTACTACAATGTAGCTCTCATCACTCTCATACTCATAGTATTGTGGTTTTTAACTGGAAGTGAGTTTTTCTCATGAATTTTCAAATCCCTTTTCAATTGTTTCCTTCTTGTTTTTCCAAATAGACTAAGTTATGTTTAATATAAAATTTTTGTGAGGGTACCATTGGAATAGTCTTGATGAGACAAAGCAAATGGCACGGGTCTGAGCTTCTAATTTTACAGATTGAAGGACCGGTAA